ACACCCCTTTCCAAGCCCCCCCAACCTTAACTCTTTCCATCACAAATCTCTAATATTCTTCATCTTAGTGGATGGCGATCCCATACATCGCAACTTTCTGAGATGGGAACGAGGGACACCTATTGGCAAATGTATAAAGGTATAGGACACACACCCTGCCAAGCCCCCCCCCCCCCCCCACCGTAACTCTTTCTATCTCAAATCTCTAATATTCCTCATCTTAGTGGATGGCGATTCCATACCTTCCAAATTTCTGAGATGGGAACGAGGGACACCTATTGGCAGATGTATGAAGGCATAGGACACACCCCCTGCCAAGCCCCCCCCCCTTAACTTTTTCCATCACAAATCTCTAATATTCCTCATCTTAGTGGATGGCAATTCCATACCACCCAACTTTCTGAGATGGGAACGAGGGACACCTATTGGCAAATGTATGAAGTTATAGGACACACCCCCTGCCAATCCCCCCCTCCCCTTAACTCTTTCCATCACAAATCTCTAATATTCCTCATCTTAGTGGATGGTGATTCCATACCTCCCAAGCCCCCCCCCCTTATTAGACACCCCCCCTGCCAAGCCCCCCCCCCCGGAACTCTTTCCATCACAAATCTCTAATATTCCTCATCTTAGTGGATGGCGATTCCATACCTCCCAACTTTCTGAGATGAGAATGAGGGACACCTATTGGCAAATGTATGAAGTTATAGGACACACCCTCTGCCAAGCTCCCCCCCCTTAACTCTTTCCATCACAAATCTCTAATATTCCTCATCTTAGTGGATGGTGATTCCATACCTCTCAACTTTCTGAGATGGGAATGAGGGACACCTATTGGCAGATGTATGATGGCATAAGACACACACCCTGTGAAGCTCCTCCCCCTTTAAAGGAGAATTGCAATTGCACAAAAAAAAATTGTTGGGTAACTCCACAAGTAGGTTTATGACCACTACTATTCCTTTATATTGGCTTTGGAAATTTACAAATGCAAGGGAAGGTTTAGCGCTGTGAAACCCCTTTTGATAGATAAAGAGTGCATTTTCTATGCAACTCTATAGATCAGACCAAAATGAGGGACAAATGAGGAGGAAAGAGGGACAGAGGGACACTCTGCAGAGCTCAGTGAGAAGAGCTGAGAGCTGATTGGAGGAAAGGGACACACCCACCTTCACACAGGAACAGAGCTGAGGCTTTCAATCACAAGCTGTGTGCTGGAGATCCCTCCCCTGGCACCTTTTTATATCTTGGTGTCAGGAAAACTTGTCAGAAGTGACTCATGCAGGTAGGAGAGGAAGGAGGCAGCAGGCAGAAATGACAGCCAGTGCTCTGGACTGAGACAAGTCCACACTATAGAGGGATATGCTTTGTTCCTATTTCGTGTCTGAGGTTCACAACCACTTCAAGCAAGCACAAGGTAGCAGCTTCCAAGAGGGACCTACAGTGAGAGATGCAGAACACTGACTCCCTCTCACTTCTTCTTCACCCATGGGTGTAGGGTTGCCATCTCATCCCTTTAAAGCCGAACACATATTAGTTACACAGGTTCTGGGGCTGATTAAGGTGGTAATTAACCCCTTCGCACCGGCGCTTCCCAGCCATTTAAGAGATTTCAGAAGCCGGGAGGCGGGGCGAGGTTTAGGGTCATGTGACCGCCATGACGCATCGTCACGGCGGTCACATGATCGGGAAAGGTCCAGATCGAAAGAGGAGATCAGGACCTTTCCGTGAGTACCGGACATGTGCTGCTGCTCGGCGTCTAGACCCAGACGCCGGGAGGCCGCACATTTGCGTTCAGCCAGCGTGAAGAGGTTAAACTCACTTAGGTCTTCATCTGCAATATATTAGCCCCAGGGCCTGTGTAATTAATATGTGTTCACATATGTGCGGAGCGGTACATCGCATGTGATTCGTACAGGAACCACACCGCATCCCTGTGCAAATCACATGCGATTTGTGTGCGGTGCGATCGGAGCCGTACATTTTGTATGTCTCTAATCACACCGCGCCCAAAACGTGCAAGACCCTTTTTTTGGTCCGCACTAGAATCGGATCGCACGGGTATTCACACCTATGCGATCCAATTCTGCACATCGCACCGCTGACCATTGCTGACCGCTTTCGGTACGCATGCGCCGTACCAAATGACCTGGGAGCGTCCTGATGTCACAACCAAAGGCTCCGCCCTACGTGTTTCGTCATGGACGTCCTCACGGAGCTGATTTATAATATGATCAGCATATTGCTCTGGTGAGTTTATTCAACCTGTTTTGGTGGTGGATTCACGCTGGTGAGATTTGTTTTGAACACTTTTGCAATTATCAAGCCTCACTTCACTTTGGAATTTTTGTTTCTGGACTTTTGTATTATATTATTTACATGTGTTTTAATCGATTTATATATTCATCTGGATGTTGTTTTTATTTTATTTTTTTAGCGCAACCTGTTTTTTTTTCACTATTCATGCACCCTATATGTGTTATAGATTAGGTTTTGCAGCTTATTTATTTATTTATATATACATTTACCGTGGCGCTATTTCAGTTACCCTACTTCCTCCTGGATTAGCAAGATAGGACGTGGTTGGCAAACGTGGTTGTGGTGGTGGTGGGGGGGGGGGGGGGGGTGGTAAACTCCTGTGGTATCTTAGCAGCCACACACTCACGGATCGCAAGCCAATTTATCAACGTCAACCGCAGACAGTCCTTCAAACCGTCGCGTTTTATATAACTCATTCCTCCGTAGAAAGGGCGAGGATTCGCGTTCCCGTAACGCGGCGGCAGTAAAAACTCGAGGGATGAACTACTTTTGTGATCAGTATATTAGAATGTTATGCAACAGTTTTTAGTGGTCCTGACATCATTCTTGCTGACTATTTGTGCCTTAATTAAACTGTCAGCTGTTAATTAATTGATTGGGGATGCGATGCTAATAAAGCCAGCTTGATACAAAGCCCGTCGTATAGCACAGCCATATTCCGGCTGAATACATTTATTGGAAAGGAAGGTTTTTTTTTTTCCTTTTCTTTTTTTTTTTTTTTTTTTTTTTTTTTTCCATTTGGCTGACTTCTTTTATATCGTTCATTTCTAGAAACGTCTTAATTTAATTTTACTGTGTTTAAAGAGGTATATATTTCTTGCAGTAAGCATTTTTATACAAGTTTCATAACCAGTTAGAGAAATGATCTTAGTTTCATTCGGAGGCCGGGATCGCATTATTCTCCTCTGTAAATGCCGCAAGTATTTTGTATAACCAAAAAATAAAATTAAAAAAAAAAAAAAACCGCTCTGCTTTAACCCCCGGTTCACATCTGTGCGGGTGGTGCCACGAAAATCCACCCGCACAGAGAAATGCGGACCCGCGGGCGGGTGCCATTAGTTCTAGAGGCGTCTGGCAAGAGTTAGAAATAGGTCAAGTGTGAATGAGCCCTTATTATTTACCAGAAAAAAAAAAGTTTTCTGGGTCAAAAAAAGTTGAAAAAAAAAAAAAAACGCCGGTTTGCGGCGTTTTAACGCGTTTTTGCCATGTTTTTCAGCGCTAGAGCGCTGAATCAGTGGGTTCCAGGCATAAATCATTGGCAAGGACCCATTGACTGGCTTGTGCTGTAGGGAATGACAGCACAGCCGGGACTGTGTGCATGCGCCCCCCCCCAACACATCCAGGGGGCGGGGGGACACCCAGAGCCAGGATACAGGGAGAGCCTACGCCTTCCTACTGCACACCCAGGGGGCTGGGTGACATCCAGAGTCGGTGGACGGGGAGAGCCCATGCCTTTCCACTACACACCCAGGGGGTGGGGGGACATCCAGAGTCGGGGGACGGGAGAGCCCATACCTTTCTACTACACACCGAGGGGGGCGGGGGGGACATCCAGAGCCGGGATACAGGGAGAGCCCATGCCTTTCCTCTACACACCCAGGGGGCGGGGGGACATCCAGAGCCAGGATACAGGGAGAGCCCATGCCTTTCCACTACACACCCAGGGGGTGGGGGAACATCCAGAGTCGGGGGACGGGAGAGCCCATGCCTTTCTACTACACACCCAGGGGGGCGGGGGGACATCCAGAGCCAGGATACAGGGAGAGCCCATGCCTTTCCTCTACACACCCAGGGGGCGGGGGGACATCCAGAGCCAGGATACAGGGAGAGCCCATGCCTTTCCACTACACACCCAGGGGGTGGGGGAACATCCAGAGCTAGGGGACAGGGAAAGCCCATGCCTTTCTACTATGCACCCAGGGGGTGGGGGGACATCCAGAGTCGGGGGACAGGGAAAGCCCATGCCTTTCTACTACACACCCAGGGGGTGGGGGGACATCCAGAGTCGGGGGGATGGGAGAGCCCATGCCTTTCTACTACACACCGAGGGGGCGGGGGGACATCCAGAACTAGGGGACAGGGAAAGCCCATGCCTTTCTACTACACACCCAGGGGGTGGGAGGACATGGAGAGCCCATGCCTCTCTATTACACACCCAGGGGGTGGGGGGACACCCAGTGCTGGGGGACAGGGAGAGCCCATGTCTTTCAACTACACACCCAGGGGGCAGGAGGATGGGGAGAGCCCATGCCTCTCTATTAAACACCCAGAGGGCGGGGGGGGGGGGACACCCAGAGCCAGGGGACAGGGAAAGCCATGATTTGCTACTACACACCCAGGGGACGGGAGTTCAGGGACAGCCCATGCCTTTTTACTACACACCCAGGGGGCGGGGAACACCCATAGCTGGGGGACAGGGAAAGCCCATGCCTTTCTATTACACACCCAGGGGCTGGGGAACACCCAGGGGGCGGGAGCACGGAGCCGCCCATGCCTTTCTATTACACACCCAGGGGGCGATAGGAAGTGGACAGCCCATGCCTTTCTATTACACACCCAGGGGCGGGGGAACACCCAGGGGGCGGGAGCACGGAGCCGCCAATGCCTTTCTATTACACACCAAGGGCCGGGGGGACAGCACTCACTTGTTCTCCCAATATGGAACTAAATGGATAAGGGGTCAAAAGCAGGGGCAGACTGATAACTCATGGGACCCCCGGGCAATAGGGGATCATGGGGCCCCTGTGTCCTTGCCCAAACTCAAAGAAGCCTATGAAAAAGAAACCAGGGGCATCTCATGGGGCCCCCTACTGACCCCCGGGCCCTCGGGCAGTGCCGAGTTTCCAAATGGCCAGTCCGCCCCTGGTCAAAAGTGACCCCTTTTGGGTTTGAATACAATGGCCAATGGCTACATATAACTTTCTCTGTTATTTTCTGCCTATATATACATCCGTACACTTGCCCGGGGTAACCTCTGTGAGGAACACTTCCATTATCCTTCAGTTTTTCGCCTGTATCCTTGGCCTCGACCTAAGACATCAAACATTCCGAGTGTTCAGTCTTCTACGGTGGAGATACAAAATTGCTTCAGGTCTGTGTCATCATGCTTAGCATTATAGCCAAGTCTATGATACATATTCATTTATTGATAGTGAATCCAGATGTCCCCTTTCATAAATCTTTAAACTGCTCCGTCTTATATCTTCCAATAACAATGCCGCCATCCCTGTGCTAGGAATTTGCATTTTATTGTTGTCGAGAGTTTTTTTTTTATTTCCATAGCCGAGAAAGGAGCTTATTATTTTGCACTTTAGTCTACGAGTGTAAAAGCGGATGATCATATAAAGTGGGATTGCTTAGTAAAGGGGCTCCCCACCCGACGCCCCCCTTTATACTTACCTGAGCCCAATGTCGATCCAGCACTGCGCCTGAGAGCAGGACCATGGATAAGGGGGTTCCACCAGTCCTCCTGCACGAGGCCCAGGACAACGGGGGGGTCCAGGCAACTGGGTGAATCAGGTGTGGGCAGGGAGAGTTATCGACACGGCGTGGGGGCAATTACTGGAACTGATCCCCCGTATGCCTGTCTCTGTAGCGTATTCCTCGCACTGACACCAATGACAGGGCACTACTCCTCCCACTGACACCAATGATGGGGCACTATTCCTCCCACTGACACCAATGATGAGACACTATTCCTCTCACTGATACCAATGATGGGGCACTATTCCTCCCACTGATACCAATGATGGGACACTATTCCTCCCACTGACACCAATGATGGGGCACTATTCCTCCCACTGACACCAATGATGGGGCACTATTCCTCCCACTGACACCAATGATGGGGCACTATTCAGCCCACTGACACCAATGATGGGACACTATTCCTCCCACTGACACCAATGACAGGGCACTACTCCTCCCACTGACACCAATGATGGGGCACTACTCCTCCCACTGACACCAATGATGGGGCACTACTCCTCCCACTGACACCAATGATGGGGCACTATTCCTCCTACTGACACCAATGATGGGGCACTATTCCTCCCACTGACACCAATGATGGGGCACTACTCCTCCCACTGACACCAATGATGGGGCACTACTCTTCCCACTGACACCAATGATGGGGCACTATTCCTCCCACTGACACCAATGATGGGACACTATTCCTCCCACTGATACCAATGATGGGGCACTATTCCTCCCACTGATACCAATGATGGGGCACTATTTCTCCCAATGACACCAATGATGGGGCACTATTTCTCCTACTGATACCAATGATGGGGCACTACTCCTCCCACTGACAGAAATGATGGGGCACTATTCCTCCCACTGACACCAATGACAGGGCACTACTCCTCCCACTGACACCAATGATGGGGCACTACTCCTCCCACTGACACCAATGATGGGGCACTATTCCTCCTACTGACACCAATGATGGGGCACTATTCCTCCCACTGACACCAATGATGGGGCACTACTCCTCCCACTGACACCAATGATGGGGCACTACTCTTCCCACTGACACCAATGATGGGGCACTATTCCTCCCACTGACACCAATGATGGGACACTATTCCTCCCACTGATACCAATGATGGGGCACTATTCCTCCCACTGATACCAATGATGGGGCACTATTCCTCCCACTGATACCAATGATGGGACACTATTCCTCCCACTGACACCAATGATGGGACACTATTCCTCCTACTGATACCAATGATGGGACACTATTCCTCCCACTGATACCAATGATGGGACACTATTCCTCCCACTGACACCAATGATGGGACACTATTCCTCCTACTGATACCAATGATGGGGCACTACTCCTCCCCACTGACATCAATGATGGGGCACTACTCCTCCCACTGATACCAATGATGGGGCACTACTCCTCCCTCTGACACCAATGATGGGGCACTACTCCTCCCACTGACACCAATGATGGGGCACTACTCCTCCTACTGATAGCAATGATGGGGCACTACTCCTCCCACTGACACCAATGATGGGACACTATTCCTCCCACTGACACCAATGATGTGGCACTATTCCTCCCACTGACACCAATGATGGGGCACTATTCCTCCCACTGACACCAATGATGGGGCACTATTCCTCCCACTGATACCAATGATGGGGCACTATTCCTCCCACTGACACCAATGATGGGAAATTGTTTACTCCCATTGACATCATACAATGTGATTTCCTGAATTTTTGTTTTAAATTCTGTCTCTCAGAGTGGGAATGCACCTACAATGTGAATGTCAGACCCCTCCATGTTTTCTAAGTGGGAGAACTTGCAAAATCGCAGGGGGTTCAAATACTTCTGTTCCTCGCTGTATATGTATATGTATATGTATATATATATATATATATATATATACACATACATACACACATATATATATATATATATATACATACATACATACAGTTGCAAGAAAAAGTATGTGAACCCCTTGGGATTACGTGGAGTTTTCCATGAATTGGGCATAAAATGTGCTCTGAACGTCATCTAAGTCACAACAATAGAAGAACACAGTCTGCTGAACATAATACTACACAAACATTAGATGTTGCCATGGTTTAATTGCACATAACATGTAAACATTCACAGTGCAGGGAGGAAAAAGTATGTGAACCTTTGGACTTAATAACTGGTTGACCTCCTTTGGCAGCAATAACCTCAACCAAACGTTTCCTGTAGTTGCAGATCAGACCTGCACAACGATCTGGAGTCATTTTGGACCACTCCTCTTCACAAAACTGTTTCAGTGTAGCAATATTCTTGGGATGTCTGGTGTGAATCACTCTCTTAAGGTCATGCCACAGCATTTCAATCGGGTTGAGGTCAGGACTCTGACTGGGCCACTCCAGAAGGCGTATTCTGTGCTGTTGCAGCCATTGTTTTGTTGAATGACTTGTATGCTTTGGGTCATTGTCCTGTTGCATCACCCATCCTCTGCGGAGCTTCAGTTGGCGGACAGATGGTCGTACGTTTTCCTGCAAAATGTCTTGATAAACTCTGGAATTCATTTTCCCATCAATGACAACAATCCGTCCAGGCCCTGAGGCAGCAAAGCAGCCCCAAACCATGATGCTCCCTCCGCCATGTTTCACAGTGGGGATGAGGTTTTGATGTTGGTGTGCTGTGCCTTTTTTTCTCCACACATAGTGTTGTGTGTTCTTCCCAAACAACTCAATCTTGGTTTCATCTGTCCACAGTATATTTTGCCAGTAGTGCTGTGGAACATCCAGGTGCTCTTTGGCAAACTTCAAACGTGCTGCAATCTTCTTCTTTTGGGCAGCAATGGCTTCCTCCGTGGTGTCCTCCCATGTACTCCATTCTTGTTTAATGTTTTCCTGATTGTAGATGTGTCAACAAAAATGTTAGCATGTGCCAGAGATTTCTGTAGGTCTTTAGCTGACACTCTGGGATTCTTCTTTACCTCATGCAGCATTCTGCGCTGTGCTCTTGCAGTCATTTTTACAGGACGATCAAGCCTAGGGAGAGTAGCAACAGTGCTAAACTTTCTCCATTTGTAGACAGTCTGTCTTACCGTGGACACATGAACATCAAGGCTTTTGGAGATACTTTTGTAACCCTTTCCAGCTTCATGCAAGTCAACAATTCTTCATCGTAGGTCTTCTGAGAGCTCTTTTCTGCAAGGCATGGTTCACATCAGACAGTGCTTCTTGAAACCAGGAAACCCAAAACAGGTGTGTGTTTTTTAAGGGCAGGACAGCTGTCAGCAACACATCCAATATCATCACACTGATTGGAGTCAAGATTGGCTCACTCCTGGCTCCAATTAGCTCTGGGAGAAGTCATTAAGCTAGGGCCTCACATACTTTTTCCTCCCTGCACTGTGAATGTTTACATGTTATGTGCAATTAAAAAATGGCAACATCTAATGTTTGTGTAGTATTATGTTCAGCAGACTGTGTTCTTCTATTGTTGTGATTTAGATGATGCTCAGAGCACATTTTATGCCCAATTCATGCAAAACTCCATGTAATCCCAAGGGGTTCACATACTTTTTCTTGCAACTGTAGATACACACACACATATATATATACATACACACATACACACACACACACACATATATATATATATATATATATATACATACACACATACATACATACACACATATATATATATATTAGGGGCGGACTGACAACTCATGGGGCCCCCAGGCAATATGGGATCATGGGGCCCCTATGTCCTTGCCCACACTCAAAAAAAGCCTATAAAAAGGTACCAGGGGCATTTCATGGGGCCCCCTACTGACCCCTGGGCCCTCGGGCAGTGCCCGAGTGTTTGAATGGTCAGTCCGCCCCTGATATATATATACATACATACACACACACGCACATATATATATTTCTGGAGAATTCATCGTCCTTTTCGGCCAATCTTTTCTAGTTCTTCCCATACTCTGACAACCTACTAAAGCCCACCGTTAGTCATTACAGCGGCGGCCCACTTGAACGTTGTCACATTTATTATACACTTGCAAAAAAAATTACTGCTAAATGCCAATTAAAATCCCCCTCCCCCCCCCCCCCCCCCCCCATCACTCTTACCCTTCTAGAAATGGGGTAAGACCGCCAGCTAACGAAGAGTAAACAGAGACAATCGTCCCCCGTCTCCCCCCGCCGCCGCCTTGTCAGAATGTTCCCTGCGTTTAATTGAGGCCGCTCCTTTGTTATAAACAAACTTTTGTTTGTTGTAAGATGAACGCGCGAGATTCCGGGCCGATTTATTTGCAGCGTAAACATATCGGCTGAAAGTCATTAATATGACATTCGCATAGTCATAACGCAGCCTTTAACGCACAGAGATTTGGCACCACCGGAATGCCCATAGGACATTAACTAGGAGTCTTAAAAAGAAAACTATTGGA